AAAAGAGGTTAACAGAGACCCCTCGAAAGGGACCCTACTAACAGTCGGGTACGGGAAGAAAAGTAATGCTAAAACACACGCTTACCCGAGCTGGTGGGCCCCTCCTCATCTCCAGCCTCCCCTTCCTCGTCAGAAGGAATGGAAATCACCTTCTCAATCGCACCTGCATAGGTCCAATACCAATGGCAAAAGGTATGAGATCATCGTTGCGATCAAAGACGCTATTGCAAAAGAAAAATTACCTCCTGATGCGGACGCAGAAGCCGCTGGAACTCCCGTCGGTGGCCTCACACCAGATTGCGGAGGAGTGTCTTTCGAAGCCGCCGGGACCGCCCCCACTGCAGCAGAAGAGGTAGGCAGTACAGCTCCAGATCCAGACGTCGCTGCTCCAGGAATGCTTACCTGGGGAACATTATCCCGACCTTCTATCGCTCGGACAGTTCCTGCTGTCTCATCACCGCGGGCCTTCTTAGCCGCCCCCGCTCGGGAACTCTCAGCCGCTGCCTCCCGCTGACGCTTCGAGAGAAGGGAGCTACTCGGAGATAGAAGCGGCGCCCCCATTTGTCCAATGGTCGGACTCTGGACCGGACTTGAGCGCCCGGATTCTCTTGGTTCACCAGGGGCATCCGGCGAAGGACCGGGGGAAGGAACTCGAACCTCGGGAATCTCGGAATCGTGTAAGCCAGCGTCAAAACCCTCGGTATCCTCAACTGGATCCTCCGAGAACAACTCCCTAGCAGTTTGATGGCCCCTTCGCCTCGAAGAACGGAGAGAGCCCCTGACAGGACGATCGCGTTCCACCAGACATGAGTTCTGGAACCAGAAATTGGCAGGATTAGCACTAGCACCCCGATACCAGCGGCAGTATAAGAGCGTGTGGTGTAAATCGCGGTCCTTCGCGGTCAACTCAAAGCGAGCCTGGGTACCTCCAGCATGGGTCCAGAACCATCCCCGAGCTCCGTCAACCAGTCCTCCTTCGAAGTTTAGGCAGGGGTTGGCGTTGCCTACATACAATTGATCATACCCAAACTGGCGGGCGAACCTGCAGGGGATGTATGGCTCGAGATAGCATGTAGGGCCCGTTCTCAGAATGTGATACCCCGGTCGGATATTCACCAACCAGCGAAAGGCACCACGAGTAAGGACCGTGTAGTGATCCGCCGTCGGCGCATCCCTGAGAGATTCTCCATATCCGCCCCCGCTGAAATAAGGGAAGAAGCGGCGGAAATTATAATGCCCGAAGTGGGAGAGCGTCTTCCTGGCATCAGGGATGTCCTTGCATTTCCAAGAGCACCTCTCCAAGCGCTGGACGAAGGGGACGAACTTATCGCCCTGAAGCATCGCCGGGGCGCTCATCAAACATTCGCAGTGGTACACGAACCACGCCATCAAATAGGTGTACGGTAACCCCACCCTAGGATTGGGAGTTTTGATAACTACTCCTTCCCCCTCATCAAGGCCCGACACACGGCAGAATTGGGCCGTCAGAGTGCGGAGCCCTCGGTGAATGCACGCTATCGTCGCCGATACCAGGGAATAAGACTTCCCGTGAGCTAGGCAAACCGCCGGATACACGACCTCCACAGGAAGAGCCTCAAAGGAGTGAGTGGGGATTACGCACCTCTTCAGCCATAACATGAGGTACCCCGCGAGCAGCGCCTTCCCCGAGATGAGAAACTTCTCCTGATGATGGAATGAGTGAAAGACCGTACCAGACTTAAACCCGCCCTCGTCGCGGTCAAGAGTCAGAGTGCTTCCTTCTTTAGCTGCCCTCGCCTCCACTTCAGACTGGTCGCACGCGCCTAACGGGAGAGCGGGAATCCCCTTGACATCGTTCCCCGGGAACAGGTAATCAGCCCAATTCTTGTGGCTGATCCCCGGGGTCTTCTTCTTCTTCCCCTTATGATCCGAGGCCCCTAAGGTACTGAGGCATATGTAGTAGTGGCAGAGTAGCTCCCACAGAGTTTCAACCGCCAAAGGGGAATGGCTCGACAGCTGATCAATTTCATCTTGATCGGGGACGTACTCCTCGTAAGGAAAGTCTCCAAGAGGCAGCCCTGACACGTCGTACATCTCGTGAGGGGTGATACCAAGCTCACCATTGGGGGTGAAAAACGTGCCGCTTTCCGCGCAATACAGTTCCAAGATACTATGGAACTGAGAAGCGTTGATCCGCAAGCCGTGTCGAGTGGCTTCAATGGCCACATACAGCTCTGTGCCTTTGAGATCAGCATTTTCGGCCAGAATGTAGTCGGTGATCTTGGACCACCACGTGTCGCTGCCGGGTGCAGAATAGACCCACCCCGGGGCTCTAAAGTCCTTCGGGGGAAAGCTCCCACCGACTCGAAAGAAACGGTGACGGAAGGTCTCCGCCACCGCTGTCGACTCCCCCATGGGCGGTTCAGCGGACATTAAGCCAGGGCGCAGGCCCGTCACACGCTTGCACGAACTCTCCACTCCGTACCCAGCCGTAGAGCCCGTAAAGACGCCACAAGTGACCCCGTCCTGAGAGGGGGTCAAATCCCAGTTCATTGTCCGAGGGATGGCGAAGGACCGCAGCTCGACGATCGAAAACCCTCTCGACATACTGGGGAGATAATAATGAACCCCCTCTACCGTGCGGAACCACCGACTCTCTTTGAGCAACAGGACGGAAGGGTCGGCCATAGCGTCGCCGAACAAAAATTGAGGCTTCGGCAGCTCTGCCCTGTCCTCATCTGTCAGCGCCGCGTTGGTCGTCAACTCGCGTAATGTCAAGTGATGACCATCCGTGACTCTCTGTATCAGACCATGCGGCTTATCAGCGGTGAATACGGGCACTGAAGCCAAAGAAGGAAATCGAGAAGGTGCCGTGTAACTCGTAGCCCCGGCGTGGCCAACGGCCACACCCTCCGGGAAAGGCTCATCGGAAAAGGTCGCTGCAACAAGAAATGAAAAGTCAATCGAGACAAAATCCGCTGTAGGGGCAAAATCGCCCATTGAACAGAGGAGGGCGAAATCGCCTATCGAAAGGGGGAACCCATTTCGAACGAGGTCTATCCGTACAGACTATACTCCCCTCTAATGGGAAAGGGCCGAATTCGCCTTGCGAAAAGGGAATTCGCCTCCTTCCCACTGAAGGATTCGCCTGCAGGGACAGTAATCATCCTCCAAGGGCAAATAGGGCAAACTTTGCCCCAAATCGGGGAAGTTACCAAGCATAATGAGCAACGCTCATCCCCCTAAAATCCGACGCCTAAGATCTACAAGAGATCGTCCAACGAACCCATCAACATACCTAGGCGCGACTCCAGAGCACCGGCAGGCATGCCGGCGGAGAGACGGTCGGAGTAACGTCCGGGGCCTGCACCCCTCACTTTGCACCTCTTAGATTTCGGAGCCATTGTAGGATGAAGCGGGAATTCTTTCCTTAGAGGTTCCTTTCGAGATTTGAGAGCACGGTAGCTCCCAATGGAGGAAAACGGCCGATTTAGAAGGGTGAAGTTGTCCACGTGGCCACGACTACCCTCGAAAAGCGAAAACCCTAACGGACAGAAGACGTGGCCACGATCAAATTCGACGGCCCAGATCACCCTCGGTATATCGAAAGAACCGAGGTTGGCGGTTGCATCCGACGGTTGAGTTCGAAAACCACGGCCACGATGCGTCGCGGAGCGAAACACACAGAAATCGTGTTGTCAAGTCACGATCGCCACGACCCGACGAGACCGCGCCGCCTTAGCTGGGAAGCACAAAGCCCTATCAGCAGACACGTGGCTCATCTCCCGTCAGATTTGGGCCCGCCTCAAAAAGGAAGGGTTTTTGCCTACAAATACTTGGCATGACCCCGCGAGTTGCACGAAACTTGGCTCCCCAAAGACTAACTCCGCCTGGACGATTCACTCGCCACTAAAGGTAAAATTACAAACGAAGCCAATAGAATGACCTCGCTTAAACGGTTAAAACCCACGCCTCAGACGGCTAAGGGTTAGAGCAGAAATCTTAGCATTAAGCCTAAGAGAAACTGTTCAACAACTTATCATACTGAGGGGAATAGTATGGCTAGCCCGATTCAAACGGTGATCGGTAAAGGCACATCAAACCCGTTGATAGCTGAGGATTTGCTAAAAATCCTAAGAGAAATCGAAGGCACTTGCTTCGCCAACAATTTCTTCATTCAAAGTATTCCAGACCACACGCGAGCCGGTTTAGGTCTGAAAACTTTGAAGGGGGTCTTGTAGACGGTAAAAAATACCTCTATAGACTTACGGGAAATTCGCCTACGAGAAGAGCTCACACGCTCATTTCTCTGGCGCGGGCTCCGCCGGCACTCGGCAAGTTGGCTAGGCCCACTCGAGTACTGTGCACCTACTTTGCCGCCTCTCCTGACCGGAAAGGAGAAAGCACCGTGCTCAAAGCACGCCGAACGGTCACGCACAGTACGAGTGATCGGGCAGACACTTCATCGATCTGCGAACTCATAAATGCGGTTCATTAATGCTGGTCAAATCCACTCGGATAGCAGTCGTTTTTTGCCTCACATACAAGAATGGGCCTTCCCATCGTAGGGGACAGGACATAAAGCACAATCCCTGGAATGACCATTCATGGTATCGAGGAGCAGCTAGACGTCTCTGAAGAAGATGTGGTCACATCCCACAATTCAAGGAGGAGTCAAGCTGTCATTCTTCCATTTAAAAGCCCCTTCCAGCACACTGGAGGAGAGGTCGCAAACTTAGAGAAAAGAGTTGAGACCAAGCTCTCTGCATAATCTTTGCATTGCAGCATCACTGTTTAGTTCCGAGCTCCGATCGCCGGCGAACTAAGCAGACCCGAACTCCCTCGAGTTGAGCTTCTACTGTGAACTGAAGCTCTCCAGCAACCTCGATCGAACGGTCCAAGGGAAGCAGACTCGACACGAGCATCGAGCGAAGCGTCCTATAGCCACCTAAAGTCCCCACACAAAACAAAGAGGGCTTTCCCTCTGCTTCTGTTGTAAACATTTGATTTGTTAGTTTGTAATAAGCCTTCTTATTAATACAAGCGAACATTCCTTGTTTTCAGGAAATCAAATATTCACCCTACAACTACAGAAGGATCCTTCATCCTACAAAGGCTTGCTACACTCTCAAGAATAGCATCCAAACGTTGGTCAAAGCCGGTGTCATAACGCTCAATTAAGTCGAATGAAGACTCTGAAGAGTATACGAGTATAAACTGCTTCTCAATACTATAACATGTATATGAGTCTAAACTGTGTCCTTTCTTTCACGAGAAGTTCCTGGAGAGTGTCGTGCCTGGTATTCTTAAGGATAACCCGGTCATCTAACTAAGTACAATGTTAGACCCGGTTTCACAAAGGAAGCTGAGGATGAATGATTCATATAACGGGAAGTTTCCGAAAGAATTATGTATAGTGTATTTTAATCTGCTAGAGTCTGAGCATAGTACTCAACATTTTAATCTGCTAATTATTGACAATTGTCAAACCCCTCTGTGTTAAGTATTTGTCACTTAATATTAGGAATCCCCTTTGAGTGGTTTGTACGAATCAACACTCCCACTGTAATTTGTACTCCCAC